TATCGGAACCATAGAACTGAGCCGAATGCAGATTTCATGGAGTACAAAAAAAATTAAAGCGGTAAAACGAAATTTGAGGGAAAAGAAACAAAAATACTTCACGACGCGTCAATTTGAAGGCACACACGCAAATCCTCTTCATTAGGCCAGAACCATGCCTAAGCGAAGCAATTACCTCCAGTCCAGAGCATAGAACTTACATAGAGGTGATAAAACAACAAAAAGCTAAAACTGCAAAGGAGAATGAGGGATTCTATTTCTGGGTGTTCAATTACTCAAGGACGCGTCTTAACTAACAAATATCAGAGAACAACAACCCCCGCAAGATATGAAACCTTTAGGAATTCATTATAGTCAATTTTGGATTGAAACTTCGATGCGACGAAGGCTTTTGATGGTCAATCTGAGCTTCAGGAACCTACCATAGTATTTTTGTATCTCCTCCCCCAATTTTCATTCTCCTACTTTATAAATTTGTATATATCTTTAGAGCACTAATTCTAATAGTTCTATGGTCATTGATTTTGCCTAACTTTATGCACAGAATTGTTATGGCCTTTTCTTCGACTTTCTCATTTCTGTTTGCCAAAAAAGGAGTGTTATGTCACGTCACAGAGGGTTGGTTGTGTATGGTTGTCGTCTACCTTACCTTACGTCGTCTCACCTGAGACAGGGTCCAATTTGTGACCTGAGCAAAGGTACCTCCATAATTGTGGACACATGTAAAATAATAAAGTCAAAATGCATCCCAAAAACATTGATTATCAAATTTTCAAATTGGTGAACAATAAGAATGTCACTCACATTGACTGGCCATTTCTTTTGTTTTATTCATTAACATATTTGTCAGTTGAGTGGGGTTGCCATGGCTACAAAGACTATTTCCTAAAGAAATTGTTTAAATATGCAGATTAGATGTGGTTGATGCTCTTATTGTTCTTCATTTTGAAAATTTGACATTCAATGTTTTTGGGATGCACATTTGCTTTATTATTCTGCAAGTGTTTACAAATACGGAGGTACCTTTGTCCGGATCACAAATTGGACCCTGTCTCAGGTGTCTGCTTCTGAATATTGAACTTTGAAGAAAATTAAATCTATAGAATTGATATTTTGCAGAAGGATTCATTCTGTGTGTAATTATCAGTCCCGTAAACACCTGCGGTTTGTTGACGTGCGTTCGCAGATACGTAGTAGCATCTGAACGGAGAGTTACAAATCCGATGATTATCGCAGAGAATTTGGAAATTCCACCTGCACCTTTCTTCATGTTTGTTCACTCTTGGACCTTTACTTACCAAATTACCATGGTGAGTATCGATTCGGATCTATTTTTATATGGAATTAGGGCCTCTGAGGCTGAGCGCTGAGCACCCTAACATTTTGACAATAACCAATTATTCAGCTTGATGTTCGGCGACTCCCGCTGTGGCGTCGCCTGATCACGATCTTTGCAGAACGACCCTTGAAACTTGAAAGGCCCCAGCGCACGAGATCGACCGCAACAGCTACTTAATGGTCGGTGGATGACTTGACCCGACTTTTGTTTCTACTGCTGGTGACGACCGCTGACGCGTCGTCACTGACAACTTCACTTCAAAAGACAACGAGACCAGCCCCGTCGCGTCAAGCATCAGTCGTGACAGTCGTCCACGTCAAATCTACTTGTAAACTGAATGAAGGGGACGTAGATCGTGTAGAATTAGTAGGCAGCGTCACTATGGAGGAGGATTTCCCACATGAAAAGTAAAGCAACCTGAGTTGTTATATTGATTCAGGAAGTCACCGTAGGTCACCGTTTTTGTGTTTAAATTTGAAACCAATTTTCTTGTTCGGGAGTTGCAGATCCCTTGATCCCGTGCCTCGACTTCGCAAGTCAAATATTCGGTTCTCGTCTATTCTCGTCTGACTTGATACAGTTTTCGATCTGTATGGAATCGCCTTAAAAAACATGTGGATGTTATTTACGAGATGAAGTATCGTCTGGTAACTTCACTCTGGTGGAGTAGTCGCCAAGTAGTCGCTGGAGAGTAGGAGTCAGGAGTTCGGCACGATAATTTTTTTTCCCACCCCTTGTAAGAGCCAGATAAGGGTCTAAAAACCTTGAGGATCTGCGGCACTACCCGAAAATCTTCTCCCCATTGAAATTCGACTCGGATGACCCTAAGTATGTATTGACGGAAATCGAGGTCTGTCACGGTGAGCGTTTGTTTGTGGGCATTCAAAACGTCCACGTTGAGAGCGGTCATTATCACTTTCCTTCTCCCTCTTACATCCATATGGATGGAATGCTTGGATCCAGCTTCGCCAGCCTTACCCAACAGGCACAGTTCCAAACATACTTCCAAGGTACTTACGTTCATCAAGCAACATGTTGCTTCCGTTGCTAATAGCTTTTCCGAATCAGTCGCGATCACGGCTGCGGTTCTTTATGACCACGGTCAGTTCTTTAGGAATTCCTTCTCAAACGAACGCTAACAGTTGGGTATTCTAGTCATAACATTGGACGTAGAGGTGAGGTTTACTTGTTACTGGCGCCCGACCTTCTCTTACCTTGTCGCTACTAGGTCGAGCTCATCTGGGTATGGTTAAATGCGGGGGCGAGACCTGCTATTGATTGTGTTCGCAGAAGAAAAAATGGTCCGCTGTGAATGTCTTCTTCATAATTGTACGTTTTTCGTACCTGAGCTTCGGGTATTGATTTCATGAACGATCGGGTTTTCAGAATCGATACTTAGGCGAAGCCGTTCCCTTGTACGCGAAAATTCTGACATTTCCGTTATTATGATTACGTTTTGCTCAAAGGCGTTGTTAGATACTTGGCGAGAGGTGGGGAATATCGTTTCTCAACTTAGAGCCGTTAAGCTAATTGTTTCGTTCAAGTTTTGATACTTCGATTTTCCCCCCAGGACGTGAGTTCGAAATTTACTCTACTCCTTAACGTTTAACTTCAATACTTACCACTTCCTGTTTTCCTTGCAAAGAATGTGTCTCAGGAGTGAGTCTAGACTTCTTCCTCTGCATGACAATTAGCTTCAACTCATACAATTGCTTAGATGTACGTAAATACCACTCTCAAGAATAACGCCAACGGGCTGATAACTTGCAGGTAATATTGCGTCAAAGGTTCAAGGATGGGGATCCCATGTTGTGATTTGGTCGATGCAAGGTTCGTAGCAGGCATACTACCATTATCACTGACTGACTTGAGTCGATGACCAACCCAGCCATTATGCTATATCGAATCTGTTGCCTGTACAAGAATTCAAGAAAGGTAACAATTTGGATGTCTATCCTATTTGCCCTTGAAATAATCTCGATGGTGGTGACCGACGCGCTTTACTTGCGTGACCTCCCCTGTAATTTTTTTAATGAAATAAGTCATATCGATTACTTATCCTCATTTTATCCAGCTCATGGTGGATCTAATGCTCCTACTTCCTCGGGCCCTTCCTCTCCATGTCCTCCAGGCCCTCCTCCTTCAGGCGGTCCTCCAGGTCCTCCTCCTTCAGGCGGTCCTCCAGGTCATCCTCCCTCAGGCCTCCCTCCCCCTTCTTCCTCGGGTCTTCCTTTTTCTCAAGGAAACATCCCCGTATGCCTAGTATTTTCTCCAAGCTGGTATTTAATATCGTGGACGCCAATATTTGTGCTTGAGCTGCTAATCCTGCTAATGGGATTACGAGCTGGCTTAAGCTACTTCAAGGAAACAAGATCACTTCCCTCATTAAACAGATTTCCTTTACATTCAATCCTGCTGCGCGACAGTATTCTGTTTCCCATGATGTAAGAAACATTTCAATGCGTGCGTCGTGCTCAACCCTCGAAATAGCGCTTTTTTCATAGGGATCTTCAGTATCATGGGGTGGGCTCAACCAACGGTAAGGCATCAGACGTTTAGATATTCTTCGCGCTCATCTTTTCGCAGCGTTATTACATGCCAGTCGCCAACGGCTTACCCCAATTATTCTCGAGAGTTTTAGGCTGCCGCCTGATTCTTAATCTTCGAGAGGCGTATTATCTTCCTTTCGAAGAAGAATGTGGGCAGCCTGACAAGCTTCCGACTCTTATCTTCCATAACACCGTGACAGATGACGAGCCCGGAGTGGTGGATTAACTTTTGGGTGCCTCTGAGATGCTGCTTGTGCCTGAAAATTTGTACTCGTTTTTAGTATTTACTTCGGTGTCGCGGTATCGAGATTCAGCTGGAGCCTTGGAGTGCAGAATTGAGACGTGGAATAGGACTAATCGGAATTGGGACATCTACATATTATTACATATGACATACCTCCAATGTTCGGTTCAAAGGTGGTGTGTCCAGTCGCAAATCCCCGAAAGGCGCCTGCGTTGAAGAGCGTTGAAGTCACTCATTCCAACGTTTACAGAACCAGGCCCACGTACCCAAGCTCCTGGCTCACTTCCGGGGTCGAAAGCAACTCGCGTTGATTGGCAAACAATTGCAAACTTACACTAACTTTCCGATTTCTGCCCATCGTCGTCAACGTCAGTCAAGAATCCTCCAAGGCCGTCCTCAAAATCCGCCACGTAAGTAGCTAATTCTTTGCCAATCGCCCCTTAGAACCCATGAACGCTCATTTTACGCCGTTTTGCGGGGTGCGGTGTGCTGGATTGGCCATTTTCCGTTTGGATGATATCTGACCATCCTTTTCACAGCCGGAAACAAGTGCGATGCAAGCTTCGCAGTACGTCCTTCAACACTCTCGTTGGGAATGGCGTTGAATTTGATGATATGGCTTCAGCTTCCGCCTCAATAAACCCACCTGCCCAGCATGATCATGTCGAAATAGAATAGGCGCGTCATCTACGAGAACCTCTTCAAGGGTGCGTCTTGATCTTTCAATGCCTTTCCGCCTTCTAAAACCTCGTTGGGAATATAGAGGGTGTCCTAGTTGCGAAAAAAAAGACTTCAACGCGCCGAAGCACGAAGAGCTCGATGTACCCAATCTCCAGGTCGTCAAGGCTCTACAGAGTTTGACCTCCCGGGGTTACGTCAAGACCCAATTCTCGTGGCAGTAGTACTACCACGTTCTCACCCCTGAGGTTGTGGAGTATCTCCGTGAATGGTGCGTTTTCTCTTTGCAATGACTTGTGCCCTTCTAACGCCAACGGCTCCAGGCTCCACCTCCCTGCCGAAATTGTGCCCGCTACTCACAAAAAGGCTGCACGTCCCCCACGCCCCGCCACTGTTCGCCCTGGAGGAGGAGAGGATGCCTACCGTGCTCCCCGTGGCGGCCTCGATGGCTATCGTAAGAAGGAGGGTGGTGCCCCTGATAACTTCAGGCCCCAATTCGCTGGTGTTGGAAGAGGCGGACCCAGGGATTAAAGGGCATGGTAATGAGTCCTATTATGACGAAAAACTTGTAGTATGGCCATGCATTTTGATCGTATGCCTTCCATCTTTATATCAGCTTTTTTGCAACCTCTATTTCTCTTCACGTTCCAGGACCGTATGGACATGTGAATGTACGCTGGGAGAGTTTTCAGCTTCTGGGTGAATCCATGACTCTCCGCCGTTTTCCTCGTTCAACCTGGCTCGATAGCACACTGCTGGAGGGTGTCGGAAGGTTATGCGCTCATTCAACAGAAGTATATCGATCAAAAGGGACAAAAAGAACCATGGAGAAGAACCTCAGAAAAGGGAATGATGACGCGATGGATGCGCGATGACCGCACCACTCTTTTAACGGAAGGAAGCAAAGCGGGAGGACCACACCAACGGCACATGGGTGAGGGAGAGATAAAGGGAAGCAGACGTTTTCGAAACGGGAGGGTAATTAAACCCAGGCACTGTCACTGTGTTGGGAGCGCGTAGGAACAGCGTTAATTAGGAAGAGGGAAGCGTTATGAAGGGAAGGGAAGAAAGAAAGAAAGAAAAGCAAACGAGAATGCGCTGTGGAGTCGGTCGGAGCAAAACAAACGGAAACCCGTCGGGAGACGAGTCGGCTCTGAATGAAAGGCGTAAAAAAAGAATGGAATAAATGGCGGGAGGGGTAGAATGCGAGGGAGGTAGAAAATTAAGTGGTGATACGAGAAATGGACTCCGTCAACGCAGGGCAAAAAGAAGGAAGGAAGGAACACCCTTCAAAGGAACTTATGGGCTTAAAGGGAGATGAACTGAGTCACGGTATTTCCCTCTGTAATCTCCTCTGTTTAGCGGAGAATGTCCGGGTGGTTAACTTTGCTTGCGTTCAGTCAAAGGGCGGGAATGGGAAGCGGGCTGTAAGTTATGGTCAGGAAGAGGCAACGAAGAAGGTGGAACGAAGGATTAGAAAGGTGTGAATCTCAGCGGGGAAAACGCGCATGAATCTGGGGAGGAATAGGAAGCTGAGCTTCCCCGCCTAAAACCACGTTCACTTCTTCTCAGTTCTCTTCACTAATTTGTTCATTTTGTACTCTATTCCCTGAGTCCATAAGCTAGTCCTGAGCCATTCAAATTTCTCCAGCTCTCATTCGCAGTTCTGTCGAAGGGTCGCCATGCTCCAAGATCCCTTCGGTCCCTCCGCCCTTGTCCCGTAGTTGCCTGAATTATGTTCGGTATGGTGGGTGACTGTATTTTTCGGTTTTTTTCCCCCATGGTTTATAAGCAATTGGATTCGATTCTTCCGTCTATAGGGATTATTATGCTCGTCGAAAGAAGGAAAACTATACAGGGGCCGTCCCACCAATCCTACTCGGATTCCTCGCGAGCGTCTGGCCAACTCTCTGGGCTTGAATAGAGCTGAATCGGTGCAGCTCCTCAGGCTTCGCCGAGATCTTTCCGCCAAAGCCCACTTTACGTGCCGCACGCTTGATGAACGACACACGATTCGAGTAGAGCGATTCGTGGATGGACGCGGCGCGCGATTGGGTGCGGGTGGGTGGGACGCCGGTGGCAGCCACTTCTTGGGCAATGCGCTCACGACGCTTGCGGATAGCCTTGATAACGGTGGCTTTCATTCCAAATTTAACCCAGCCCAGAGGGATGAACCAGATGATGTTCTATATATACGATATGTCAGGATAAGGTTAACGCGTGACTGGAGAAAAGATACCCACCCAGATCCAAACAATGCTGATCCAACCACCAGAGATCTTAGTGAAGCCCATGTCACCGTACGCAGCAATGATGGTCGAGATGAATTGGGCAAAGCAGAACGCGCCCATGAGTGCTGTAGAGGGCCGCTCCATGAAGGAGCCGTGCGAACGGGTGACGAAGATGAGGGCTTGTGAGATGATAGCAACTTGAAGGTAGACAATCATGTGCAGCTTGGGGTCGTTGTGCGAGATAGGAGGTGCGGTGTCGAGGGAGACACCGAACTTGTCTTGGAAGAAGTTGGTCTCGATGATGATGCAGACGAGGGCAATGCTAGTGTTCGAAAATGTCAGCCGTGAAATTGATAAGTTGGGTACGACGAACTTACGTGGACGCAGTGAGGTAAATACCATATGCAAAAGCGTACGAGAAAATCTCAACCAAATCCCAACTATCCGGCGTCAGAGGGGGAAGCACATGATCAACCGAAAGTGTCATGATCGTCTCATCATTGAGGAGTGCAATGATCAGAATCATAAACGGCGGGAAGTTGAACTTGTACACAAATGACAGGATGGCGAAACACACAACGATACGGATGGTGACGGCGCACGCGTAGTTCGAGTAGTTCCTCATACGTTGGAAGATAATACGGGATTGGCGGATGGCGTGGACGATGGTGGAAAGACTCGGTTCGTGAGCACGATATCAGCAGCACCACGAGCAGCGTCCGTTGCACATTCCACAGCGATACCGACATTGGCACGAGACAGAGCAGGGGCGTCGTTGGCACTATCACCCGTCATCGCGCACAAATGCCCAAGCCCTTGTAACCGCTTGACAATTTCGTACTTGTGCTCAGGGAACACACCAGCGAACCCATCAGCATCCATAATCATCTGATCAAGGTTGCTGAACTTGTTTCCGGGGGCGGGGCCGTCCTTCAACACCTTCGCAGGGTACATGTGGTCTCCCAGCCCAAGACGGCGGCCGGTTTCTTTGGCGATAGCAAGTTGATCACCAGTGACCATTTTGACGCGAACACCAAGAGCCAGTGCATCATCAATGGTTTGCTTGGTATCACCACGGGGAGGATCAAAGATAGCCAGGAGACCAATCAGCTCAAACCCGTTACCCTCAGCGTCATGATCATCACCATCCAATTCCTCGTAAGCGACAGCCAGGGCACGGAGACCGCGGATAGCAAAGTCTTCTACGTCCTTCTCCAACCTCTCCTCCAGCTCCTCGGTCTTGTTGCGCGTGCAAAGTTCGATGATGATACCCGTCATACCCTTGGTGACACGCTTAAGTTTGCCGGTTGACTCTTCACGGTATGTGATCTCGGTACACTTATCGATGGGGTTGAATGGCTTGAAGTCGAGCAGTTTGATTCCGGCACGAGCACGGGCTGTATCTCCGAGTGCTTGAACGACGGACGTGTCAATGGCGTCCTGATTCTCCACACGCGAGGCGTAAGCGGCAAGGATTATAACATCCTCCGCGGAGAAGGGGCCGTATGTCTGGATAGTGTTGCGGTCGATGGTGAGCTTGTTGGTGGTCAAGGTTCCGGTCTTATCAGAGCACAGGATAGTAACACCAGCCAACTCTTCAATGGCGGTGATGCGTGTAACGATGGCCTTGTACTTGGCTAATTGCTGAGCGCCGACGGCGAGGGTGACTGAGAGGACGGTGGGCATGGCAATGGGGATACCACCGATGAGAAGAACGAGGATGTTGTCGAGACCATCGCGATATCTGTACCTGAAGCCAGCGTACAGGACAAAGATTTCCGCAATGACGAAGACACCAATGGTGACAAGACAGAAAGATCCGATTTGAGCCAAAATCTTCTGCAAGTGACCAGTGGTGTCATCATCCTGGCCCACGAGCGAGGCAGCACGACCAAAGAAGGTGTTGGGGCCAGTGGGGATAACCTGTGAAACCTCAGTGCGTGCGGGGACTTCGTGCGATGGAGTCTCGTAGTACCGTAGTAGCTTGTCATAGTGTAGTGTCGATGAATAGAAGTAATTGGAGAGAACGCGACTGTTGAGGTCGCGCTCGTCTCCTAGGGTTGCCTAGAAGTCCTAGGCAGACCCTCGTTAACCCAGAGGACGGGCTCTCATATCCTGTGGAGGAGGGAGCATTGTACAGGGCGCTCACCCTTTGGTCTTACCAGCAGTGGACATAGGACGCTGATCACCGAGCTTGGTAGCAAGATAGTGATGGTTTATGTCTACAGCCGTTTGCATAATTCCGTGAACACCGAAAATTCTTTTTCTGGGCGTGACGTGACTAGTCACCTGACTAAGCACAGCTTTCCCTTGCGCTTTTCAGAAGTTCAGACGGTCCTGCGCCTCGTTCTTTCGCGTCTTGACCGGCGGAAATGTATAAAAAATATCCCTCCTCAATTATGGAAGGCATACTGGTCCTTTTGTCAAAGGATTAGTTATATTTTGCCATGTTCTCAGCCTTTGTGCATGACTTTTCAAACAAGCCTGACAAAACAGTGGGCCAGGTCTTTATTTAACCCCTCTACAATGCACTAAGCCACCATAAGTATGTAGCTCCAGATCTTCAGGTAGCGAAGGTGTCATGAATGTAACTCTTCACTTCATTTGAGCCGT